GGGCAGGTTTTGGAAGAAGAAGAATTTGCTATTATTCAAGGGTGTCAGCCTGGATAGAAGTCCTTCCAATTTTATCTTGTTTCTGTAAATATCTATATCATCAGTCGAGAAGGAAATCATTGGGGAAGGATGGAGATTCTTTTTTAAAAAAGATTTATTTGTTTGTTTGTTTGTTTGTTTATTGATATAAGAAATGGGGTACAGGCCAGATGTGAGGGAGGGTGAGAGGATTCACCAGAGACAGAGCGGGGAACAGAGCAGGCAGACTGACAAAATATACTGTTGAGGGGAGCAGCGGGTGAGACAGGAGAGGTCTGCCACACCAGGATATCGATTCTTGAAAAGCAAAACAGATGTCCTGAGACATAAATGTCCATTGTTCCTGGAAGACTCATAATTTAAAAAATGAATCCAAGAGGACTGACAGAAAATTATACACAGGGACAAAGAAATTAATAGGTTGTGTTTTTCATCCCCAGCAATAACTATGTAAAAAGAAGCTAATTGTTGCCCACTTCTCCCTGACCATCTATTTTGTGGGCAGTGAAAGGAGGTTGTCAAGAGTTTCATGATTGCAGTAGCAAGCACTTCATCATGATCCTTTCTTTAATCCTATTCATGTTTCTCCTTTTGCATGAATGAAGGTGAGTGTAACATGACACAGCTCCCTGGAGCCTCAATAGACACAGGTCATTCACAAGTAATACCAGCTGCTCTCTAAATACTGAGCAGATGAGTTCCTCAACAATAGATTTCAATTATTTCAAACTTATATTAGAAGTAATATTTTTTAAAAAAATACCCCTGTCTTAAGATACCTCCCTTCCATTGAATGTCCTTTCATGTGTCCATACATCAACAAAGATCTTCTTATCTTTTTATCTTTGTCAAATAGGTCCCATCTGTTATTTCATTAATATCATAATCGACACTGAAAATAGCACATTGTGGACACACAAAATGAAGAAATGTTAGCAAATGTGAAGCAAAAACCTCCTAAATTATCTTGATCTCTTGCTTTCTGATTTATTTGAAATGATCTAGTTCTTTAATACTAATTGCCAAAGTCAATTTAACAACTATGAGGTAAAGATGAGTTGGGAGGATTTTAGTGCTATAAGAAACCAGCACTTCAGCTCTCTTGGCCAGAACAACAGTTTTTCTAAGCAAATTGTGAAAATGGAAAGTTTGTGCAACTTTCTAATTCTGTCTTGGTGCCCTCTTGTTTGTGCCACTTCTTTACCCTCGGTACTCATGTTTTCATTCTGCTCGGGCTCTGTCCATGCAAGCCTGCTGCCCCCCACAACAAGGTTGCCTATCCCCAAATCAGTCATGCCCATTTCTCCTCCTTTCTTCTCAACTCTTCAAACTCTAGTCCTACTAGAGCAGCTGACTCCAGCCTGGATGAGTCATACAATGCCACTTTCAGCTAATTAGTAAGCAGTCCAAGGGCCCTGTGGAAAATGAATCTTAAACTTACCCATTTTCATAAAGGATTTTTTTTAGCATGGGGACTTGGGGATGACAAAGGATATGAAACAGAAAGTGTCAAGCATGTGAAGACAGACCGTGTGTAATCTGGACCAGTGTGATCAATGCCACATAAGTCTGTCCACAATGCCCAACTGCTGCCCAGGTAGCAGGAAGGGATGGTGGAGGCCAGACTCCTACCTGCTGGTTTCACCTGATGCTTTCACAGACTGCCTAGTCACACTTGATGTGAGAGAATGAGAAGAACTAAGAGTGAGCAGATAAGATGAGCTCAGTGTGCCGTGGAGGCTCTGGAGTCTCGGCGGCAGGTGCTAGAGTAGATGTTCACTCAGGATCAGAGTCCTGGGTGCCATTAGAAGGGGTCTTTCTCCTCCCTCAAATATGTTAAGTTGGGGACTCAAAAGCATAGTCCAATGACAGCATTGTTGCTGCTCAAAATACTTCAGAGATTCCTAGAAATTGTGGAAATCCTTTCACCACCAGTTTATAAAGACACAGACTATTAGTGTGCAATCTCTCTCAACACACACACTCACCACATACACAAATGCACACACCACACACATGTCACACCACACACACTTACACCACATACCACACACACACACAACACCACACACACACAGGTTAATTTCAGTGTTTATAATTTGTTTTCACCAAATTGCTAGCTTTACCACCACTCACAAGTAGCACCAAGGCACAATCAGCAACCACACTTGAAGAGTGAAGTTTTGCCCCCAAGTACCCCCTTGCTGGTGCACATCTGCAGAAGGTATGCCCTCTCTCAGACAGATCCACCTCTTCCTTTCTTCTTGTCCCTGGGATTCATCCTGCCTTCATCTCCCTTTCTTGTCTGCCACCATTTTTTCTTTATCTCCCCAGTGAACTGCAAAGTGGAATGAACCTTTCCTCCTGCCCAACCAACACTTTCACTTTCATTAATGGCCCTTACATTCTTTTCTTTCTGAATAAATTTCTTTAGTACAAGAAAAAAAATTGCATTCAATAAATAAGTCCACCTTTTACATATTATGAAAGTCTTATAGAACTACCTTAGTAGGTATTTATGGCTTCATATTTCTGAATCATCTATTGAAATGTCCAAAACAAGAGGTTTGTTTTAAAGCTAAGTCTTTTGCTCTTCTACTTAGATTACTTTCTCCCCAAATGTGGTAAGAAAACTCCCATCTTCAGTATAGACACTAGACATAATCCACTAGGGAATAAAAAAATGGTTTGAAGACTAAAGAAACAACCCCATTCTCAAGAGGACAAGTCCCACCCCAGAATGGTGGGATTTCTCAACTTTGTAGATCTCTCTGTCCTTCCTCTAAAAAGATCAGATGATATCATTTCTTAACTGAAGAGCTGGAGGACAATTTGTTGAGATTTTCCAGAATGTGTAAACAATGGCAGCCTCAGAGGAATAAATCCACAGGACCCCAAGGAGGTGGGGGGGGGGGACAACACATTTTGATATAAAATTCCCTTTATTTTTGTTTTTAAAAAGAGAGCAAAATTATGTTCTGTTCATGTCTCACATTCATGCTAATGTAGAGCACAAATACTAATGCATACTAGCAAGTATAAATTTGATATGTTTAGAAACATGCACATTTCAAAGACACTGAGGAAATGACAAGACATTATAATGGTATAACACAATATACCAAAATGGCTCCTCCTAGAAGTTCCCAGGATCCTCATATCAATTTCATAAAAACACTGCCAATTTCAAGTACACTGTCAGAAAATAGGAAAACATTTCTCTTAAAAGTGGAAATGCTCCACAAAACATGAATAGGGAGAAATGGATAAACTAGCAACACATTATCTCACTTGAGAAAGATGCTCATGGCAGTGCCAAATCATATTTTCTTAGCAAGTCACACTGAACAAAAAAAGAAGATAAATCACCATAAAAATGCAAGTGAGCTGGTAATAATAGCCTAGTTACAGCTGCCATGAAATAGTCATTAAGTTATATGCAGCATAAATCTCTGAGTTTTGTAAATTATGATGGTTCTTAGAGGCCAAATAAAGATAAACTGTGCTAACTATGGCTGCCTTTCCCTGCTCCTTGTGTGGCTTTTTAAAAAACTTAAGGTCAGGTGCATAGTACCATGAGGTTGCCAAAGCTCCTGAGAAAGTATTAAAGCTCACAGCACTATCCAGCACCCCTCTTCGATATTCCAAAGGTGGTAGTTTCTACCCAGTCCTTCTGGCCTTCTCTCCTGAGAAGTCTAGTCTTGCTCTGTCTCACACTGAGGCCAGACAGGCATCCAGCTCAAGCCTCGCATCGCCAGCTGCTCCTGTTTCCAAGGCCCGTTGAAGAGCAGGTGGTAGAGACAGGTACTGCTTTGAGGGCTGAGGTTGCAGCTTGTGGTTCCATCCTGTCACCTTCAGCTCCAGAGACCAGCACTGAAACCTCCCTCTCTGCTCTCCATGGTTAGGATGGCACATCAGACAGCATCCTGATGCAGAGCTTCTCAGTGGCTGTTTCCTTCTCTTCCTTTTCGAGGCTGGTAGCAATCCCGAGTCGATCTTTTGTCTTAACTGCTTCCCCCCCTGCTATTTAAACGAATTCTTATTGCTCCAAATTAAATCCATTCTTTCTAGGCTTGTCATTGCTAACTAATGAGAACAATTCCTCTCTTTGCTATTGGAGGCTGCATTTTGGGTACTTATGGATGAGAATCATATCCTTTTTTTACCCTACTTTCTTAACTGCAGACTGCACAGGTGATAAAATGGGTTAATTGTTGCTATAAAAATATTTTCTATCCTCATAACGAAGTAATTTTTTCCTCCAAATCATTTTAATTTCTTAGAATTGCACTGTGTTCTTCCTGATTTGCAGTGACTGAGGGTGCAATCTCATTGAGTCTCTATATACAAGCCAGATGTTAGAAATACACCTCTGTCCTGTTCTGCTTCTCTTTGGCCCTGCCCACTCTAGTCTGTTTTTCTGAAATATTCTTTAGATCCCTACAAAGAAGTAGGGCAGGAGTCAAAGTAAAACCTGCTGCCTGTTTTTATAATTTTTTTTTTACTCAAATACAGACACACGCACACAGCTTTGTCCCCAAAATATTTACTCTTCAGCCCTTTACTGAAAAACTTTACAAAGTGACCCTCAGCTAGGAAATTATGAGCATTCTAATTGGCTTTGCTACTTTGCACACAAAGTAAATCTCTTATTTACACCTTAACAGTTGGCTAACTATTTCACAACAGGTCAAACCACGTGTCTGCACAGGAACATTCCAAAAGATCCCAGAAGAAATTTAAAATCCTTATCCCTGAGGAACCCAACGGACATCACATCTCACATCTGGAGGGGAGAATGAGTAACATACACCACCCTTGGATAATTCTCCAACATACTCAGGCAATTTTACAAGCATGCGCCCCTTTGCAGATACTCATCTAGTTCTGCTGCATTTATCTGGCTCACCAACTTGGGCCACTGGGAAGCAAGAGAATCCAGGCCAAAGCCGGGTACTCACTATGTGAAGCTGGAGGAAGTCGCCAAGACCTGGGGCACTGTCGATGCGCACCAAGATGCCATCCTTCACAGTGGTGCTGAAGCCCACGGCAAGGCGGTCTGAGCGCGTGCTGGGCCTGTCGTTGGCTGGCCAGGTGTAGAGGATGAGGCCCCCGCTTTTCCCGAAGATGTAGGTTGCACCAGCTGTGAAAGCAAGGAGAAGAGCTATCAGGGCACTGGTTTGTGCAGGAGACACAAAGTCGAGGCAAAGTGCAGACAGCTGCACTGAGGAATTGTTCCTCACACCCCAGTGTTTGGTTACCGAGAAGGATGGCATCCAAAACCTATGAAAGCAGCTGTCACCCCAAATTAAAGATGAAGGCAAGATGAAGTATAACAAAGCAGATGTTAACAAGAGAGAGTCTGAACATCTTCAGTTCCTGCTGCCTAGTGGCAGAGGGCAAGTGGCAGGCTTCAAGGGAGAGCTTTGGTTTATTGTTGAAACCTTTCGGTCTTCCTCACTGGCAGAATTAATTTTCTGTCTCGGTTAGGACAGGCTCCAGATAGCCAAGTAGTTCCCCCATCTCTTAGCTGTCAGAATGTTCTCATCAGTGGAGCTGTGAGTTGCTGCAGGGATGCCTCACAAAACTGCAGAAAACATGGAAGCCCAAAGCCATCATTCCCTCAACGCCTGTCCAGGCTGCCACCTCCACAGTACAGTAAGTCGTGGCCCAAGGAAACCAAGTTATATGGCTGGAACATTTGCCTATTTCACTATTATGTTGCTATAAAAAGGTGATCAAAATTTATTCAGTGGACTTTTAAATTCATTCATTCATTTAATTCATTCATTCAGTGGACTTTAAAAATTAATCCCCCACCCCTTAGTGGTGGGGTTTTTCTGGCATTATTATATAAGTTTCTATTTCCTTTTCCAAGTTAAACTTTGAAAAGACTTATAGAGGAAATAAAGAGGTAAAAAACTTAGTCCAATGAATTTTTAACACAAGGAGTAGTGTCAATTATGATTAGTGATACATCAGTGTTTTTAATATTTACTTGTGTTTTCACTGATATGGTCTACAAACACAGGAATCACCAAGAATATTTCAGCATAAAAAATACACAACAAACAGGAAAAAAAATAAAGGAGTGAGATATATCTTGGATATTTTTAGAAGTCTATTTAAAAAAATTTTTTTGAATCTGAATTTGGGGGAAACATTTAGACTCGGTAGCCAGAATAGACTACACCACTATAGTTTCTATGGTTCTACGTGTGTTGTTCATACTGCGTGCTTTCATATGTGGTTAATCTCAAACTTCAAAGAATATTTGGCATCAGATTTTCTTTATCTGTTTCCCACTGAATGTATCCAACCCTTGAAACTACTTTGAAGCAGCATTAGGTCAGGGATCAGACATTAGATCAACTATCCTTAGCATTTACTAAAATGCTAAGGTCCACATTTTTTTTAGAGAATATTGAGTTAAATTATGTTGTTTGGGGCCTCCCCGGTGGCGCAGCAGTTGAGCACTGGGTTGCGAAGCTGCCCGCGGCCTCTGCAGTGCCGGTTCGATCCCCGGCTGCTCCCCGGCCACAAGAGGAGGGTCCCACATGGTGCGCAGACCTCTCCTGCCGCCCGCTGCTCCCTTTAGCAGTGTACTTCGGTCCTTCTGCCTGCTCTGCTCCCCGTTCTGACTCTGGTGAATTTTCTCACCCTCCGGCACTTCTGACTGTACCCAGTGCATGTATAAACAAAAACAAACAAACAAACAAACAAATAAATAAATAAATAAATAAATAAATAAATTATGTTGTTCGAAGAAGTAAGTTTTGCAGTTCATATAGAAATAATAAAAAACATTGCTATGAGCTAGAATTAGGAATGTATATCATATGTCACCCTTATTTAGAGTCACAGTATATTCTGAAGCATACAGAATCTAATAAGAACTTTTTGAAAGGTTACTATCCTTTTTTAAAAATTATGTTAATTGAGGTAATATTGGTTTAAAACACTGGCAATAAGTTCAAACCACTACAAATATATGCCCCAAGCCACATTTACCACCAAATCACAGTAAATTAAACCTCCACTATAGTCTACTTGGCTGCTCCCCCTGTAGAACCACCCCTACAAAGACCCCTGCCCCCATCAGTTAGCTTCAATTTTGCAGTCAGATTTCTAGGGTTTTGTTTTATTTTGTCTGTTCCTTTAATTTGTTTCTTTATATTCTACCTATGAGTAAAATCATCTGTTATTTGTCTTTCTCCTTCTAAGTTATGAAAGGTCATGTCCTTGTATATATTACATGTAGCGAAACATTATTTCCCTTTTATGAATTTCTCAGTCCTTCAGGGATGGTGTCTGAGAAGCCCTCCCCAGTCATCTGGAGATTTTAGGATTGTGTTATGGAAAGTTTATGATTAATTCTATATGCAAAACAATGTTTGCTCCTCACTAGCCACAAATACCTTTAAAGCTTCTTAAAATTAGAAATGTGGATAAACAATTTACCCTTACTCTTTCTCCATCTGTGAAGATTTTAAATAATTCCCTTTCTGCAGATGATTACAAATGTCACCACCACTCCCTTTATTCCTTATTTGGAAAACTGAAGGTTACTCAGTGATTAATGTACAGAATCACCAAAAATGCAAATCAGTCTGTGACATTTTGTGGCAATTTATAAAATCGCACACTATTCTATTCTAAATAGATAGAGAATTCTGCTATAGGGATAAATTCATACTCTCTCAGGAAATAATTTTGTCATTATAAAAAGAATAAGTTAAAAGTTGATACCGGAAACACAATTGCACAGTGCTTTATAGTATACAAAAGCCTTTTTCATTTTTTTAATCTGGATCTTCAAGACAGTTTTAGGCGATATTTTATGTGTCAACACTGAAACCAGAGCCCCAAATAGATGAATTTAAAGACATTTCAGAGGATAAATATATAAAACTTCTTATATGTAGTGTGTGTATGTAGTTGAAGGTGCCTTCAACTTTTAAATAAACAAATAACAAAACCTCACTGACAATGTCAGACTAAGTATTGTATATATACATAATCTGGTTTTAAATTATTATTACCACTTTTGTTGTTCTAAATTTATGATATCATTATGAGAAAAGTCTAACTTTGTAGATGCAAAGGACATAAAAGTTACAAAATGCTTAATATTTAGCTTATTTTGCTCTGTAGAAATAAATATTAAAATATGTATTCTTGGCACTGAATTAGCTAGTAAGAGTAAATAAAGACACTGAAACTTCTGTGGTCCAATGTTGACTTTAGAGGAAGTTAATTAATAGTTACAAGTTTCTACTGTGATAATCTGCTATTTTCCCCCTTTAGTTAGCCCCGCTATCTGACATGGATTTTAAAGACAAATGCACACATTCTGTTCATTTTAACATAAAATGTTTATAGAGTCCCAGAGGGAACATGGCATTATTTTGCTTTACATTTTCAAATTAAAAAGTTAATTTTGTTATTTTTAAATGTGGATTACAAATAGCTTTTGGGGAGCCAGAAACTCTTAACAACCCTCTTTAATCCATTAACAGTTTTCATCTCTAAGCCATGCACTACCTCATCACATGCTTCCTCTCCAGAGTCCAGTAGTTCCAATGGCTGATTTCTCACTGTGCTCAGTATGCTGGTACAGAGATCCTACTACATTTATTAATAACCAGACCCATGTAAATTTTCGGTTTGCCAGCAAAAAAGTGATCAATTCAACTGAAGAAAAAAATGCTAGGGAGGCATTTTGGACACATAACATCACAGGATTTGCAAGTTTGCAAGAAGCCGAGGTTGCTTTGCTTAGTTCCAACCAATAGAGCATTCCAGGGATGTAATCTCAACACTGCCACCACTAACCAAGATAAAGTGGATGAATTTCATCTTCAAGTAGTCATCAAGTGTGACATGTTATTTTGCATACAGCTTCATTTTTTTGGGTCTCAAATGCACCAAAAATGGGGTTGGCTTATTGTTTTCAGATTTGACTAGATATTAACTGAGATGAAGCTGATGGGGATGTTGGCAGAGTGGGATACAGGAGTATTAATGAATGTTTTTGTGTTCATTCTGTGTGTGCATGCTTGTGTGTGTCTGTGTGTGTGTGTAGTGGGGAGGAGCACAGGCTCCAATGAAATCATGAAGGACTCCTGAAGAGCATTTTTATGCAGTTACAAGATATGCTGATGAAGTAGGTGATCTATGATTTCTCAAAGGGAGTGATGGCCAAATATTTTTTCTAATCTATACATTTCCCTTATAAGTAAGTCTTTAATCTGTGGTGCTTATATTATTGCTTATTTTAATAGAATTTAATTGTTGAAAACAAGTCACATTTTCCCTACTTAGGAAAATTTGAATAATTATTGCTATTATTATTTTGACTTGGCCTTACCATTCTGAATGACATTGTGACTGTTTTCATTCCCATAACTAATGCCATATTACTTTGGGGGAAGATTAACAAAAGAATAGAATCATGGTCTTGTTTAATGTTGATTTTAGATACAAAATGGCATATACATACATATGTGTGTATACATATGTGTATATGAAAAATCAAGTTTAGCTAGGAAATAAAATAGAGTACCTGAAGTTCGTTCATTACTTTCATTATCAAATAATTACAGATAACATGGCTTCAGAAAATAATTTAATTATTTATATGGTATATTTATGTTTCTTTAATTAATTTCAAAAAAGCAAATAAGGGCCTCCCCGGTGATGCAGTGGTTGAGCTCTGGGTTGCGAGGCTGCCTGCAGCCTCTGCAGCACCAGTTCGATCCCTGGCCACTGGGCGGGGGACCCACCTGGAGCGTGTACCTCTCTTGCTAAGCCCGCTGCTGCCCTCAGCAGTATACTTATTAAGTCTGCCTGTTCAGCTTTCCACTCTGGCTCTGGTGAATTCTCTCACCCTCCCGCACTTCTGACTGTGCCAAATGCTTGTATAAATAAATAAATAAGTAGACAAATAAATAAATAAATAAATCTTTAAAAAAAGCAAATAAGCTTTCCCTAAAATAATTTTTGGTTGGTGTGAAATGGAGCAAGTTTGGGAGCATTTTCAAGAGGAGCTCTGCGAGAGTTAACTTTAAAGAAAATTAGACGATTTACTCCTAACAATTACAGATGGTAGGTTAATAACTTACGTAATCATAAGTTTTAATG